GGAATGCACGACCACCCAAAAGTATAAAGGCAAAAGAGACTTCCTGGTCAGAATTAAGATAATTTTGACACAGGGAGAAGCTAGACATTGATTTAATTGTAATCCTTGTACAAAAAAAAATGTCCTATCAGTTGAGCTCACCACTTCGTGTTACTGTATCTGCTTGCCTCATCTCATCACCACTCTTCACCCTGCTTGAAAAAGCAACGTGACTATCATTTCCCAAGCATTTTAAAACTACTCAGACATGAGCACTTTGGCTTATAAGAACAAAATATAGAAGGGGAGAAGAAAAGCTGTAGACTTTCAGAGCAATCTCCCATCACATCCTCATGGTCAGCATTATTTTTCCTTGCTGTTCCAATCAGATAAGAGGACAGCACTGCCAACCTTCTTAGCTTTATCACTTTTCAAAAGGCTTTTCATTCACACAGTATAGAACTAGACTATTCATTGTAAGGTTTTTGCATCTTGGAGATGATCAAGGATGTAACTGAGATTCAATCGCATCTTCCTCTGGAAGCCTTAAAAGTTTTAGTACTATATTTGAATCCACAAGCACTTTGCAGTCCTGATGCTTTCTTTGCCTTTAACAGTCTTCAGTAAACTTCCCTACTCTATCGCATTTGGGTACAGAAGGTTCTGACTCTCCTTCTTTACTGGGCTTTGTCCCTAAAATTACTTCTAATCTCAAAACATTCAATATTCAGTGAGCTTTCACAGGTTGATTAACGGATCTCAACTTCAATTTTGTGAAGGAAAACAGCTTATTGACTTCTGGGCAAAAAAGAAAAAAGGCTTACTGGACAGACACCAGACTGCCTTGCAAAATATTCAAATACCATCTACAGTTACGCTTTCAGAAGTGTACTGGTATGTTGTCAATGCATGAACAGATGATACGGTAAACTCCGCTCCTCTCTGGCACATCCATTTCGTAGCTACATCTATCCCTATTACCCCTGCAGGGGAAGATCTGTTCAACCTCTCGCCCCTCTAACACACACGTTCCTGCTCATATGCAAGTGATACACCAGAGGTAAAGAACGGAGCAGATTAGCTTACCTACCCTTCCACTACACTGCTTTTTTGCTCATATTCTGCAGAAGAATATTAGAGTAATTTTGACCCAGTTCTCGATGCAGAAGGTTTGAGGGGGGAAAAAAAAAAATCCCTCCCATCAGTTTTAAGGATGGATATGCAACAGAGGTTGGCACAATCCTACCAGATCGTGCTTAAATTAGGACGCTCGCTTGACATCTTTGCTCTGATGGGAAGAAGGAAATGCATCGTTTCATACAGGTCTTTGCTGATGTCACGGGCTTTGAGATCCTAGGTGGAAACAGCATTACAAAAAAAAAAAAGTTTTTAACTGTGGCATTGCTATTTATTTCCCCCTTGTACAATACGTAGAAAGTGAGGGATGCAGTTTATGGAGGGGAGGGGGTGGAGAGTCTTAAAAAAACCTCAGCTGATGGGAACCAACTGGAATTACTGCATTTAAACCAAGCTGCTGACAGAAAGGCTAAGTGTTTAAAATACAGTAATCCTTTCTTTACACTAAGACCAGGAATAAAATTATGCCTTTAGCGGTATTTTTCCCCTAAATTATTTGACTAAAAAAAGGAATTTGGCAACTAAGAAAATCAACTTTCTTTCTTATTAACCTTCTGCTTATCAGCCACAGCACATGTGAACAAATCCAACTAGGGAAACTTCATGGTGGTTAGAAAGCAGCCTTCTACGCAGGGACCTCACTGCTTCGCAGTGCCTTCAGGACCCAAGCCAGCAGTCTTATCTCACTGAAAAAAGTCGCAAGCAGTTGCACACATATATATGCATATGTATGATACGGTATATACACACACACACATATTTACAGATATTTGTGCATATGTGTGTGTATAAAAACACACGTATTGGTGAGCGTTCAGGACTTTTTCTCCAAGGCAGGAGTTAAATGCAGCCGTCTGGAAGACTTAAGAGCCACAGAAAGTCTCTTTCAGCATTCAATCCTGCAATCTCCTTCCTGATTGAACTCCGGGGAAAAAAAACCCTCATCTCTCGCCATTAGTTTCAACTCATTTGCCAAACCGTGCCTTTCCTACTACCCCAGCCAATAAATCCCCAACAGATCAGTGTCACAAATGACGAGGCATAAAACAGTTTTCACTGTAACACTCCTGCAGCAATATGGAAAGGACAGGAGGATCACTGTCCAGATGGACAAGCCAGGCAAGAAACCTGCTCCCCAACGCAAAGCAAACAAAAATGTTTCCCTAATTCTCATTCTCCGAGGAGAGCAGTGCAACTCAAAGAGTAATTCTTGCCCATCAGATAGACAAAAATCAAAAGACAGGAGAAAGAGCCAAGCTGCGAGATGCAGCCAGCTCTGGGAAAACAGGGTTGCTCAAGGGGCTGTGGTCCTTTAGCTACTGCCGTGAGAAAGTTTTTCTGCCAAATACCGTATTCAGCCTGTGGCTCTTTGAGAGCAAACGTGAAGTGTGCCAGGTACCGCTGTAAAAGGAGGTCTTCAGGGCTCTCCCTCCCCTTTCTTTCTACAAGACAGCAAAATGAACCCTGACATATTCTGGGCATGAAATCCACAGACTAACAATAAGGTTCCCTGAAATACAGACTGCCGAGATAGAGCATGAATCTCGGTGTCTTTTAAAGTTTATTCAGGGCTGACAAATAAAATGAATCAGAGACTACGATTCTCTGCATTAACTGAAGCAAGTTATCTACTTCTCTCCTCAGTCTTAAGGCTCCCCTGGCAATCAGTCTTTGCCAAAATTCACAGGATCCAAAAAGCCAATTTTTTCCCTCTATTGCATCAATTTAACCCCAGAACAATACTATCACCATTTTCACTCCGTAATATCATCCACTCATTTTTCCTTCAACGCCCCCTCCCCAAAGCCAAAAGGAACAGTAAGTGTATAGTGTAATCTCCTGGTGACCGGAGACAGGCCCACCTTAACAGATCCAAGAGCACACAGCAGCTGTACCTTACAATCTAGTTTGACAGTGTGCAACCAGAAGAGATGAGGCTTGCCCCAGCAGCTCATCAGATCAGTCCTTGGGGAAAAGAAATGCCAGAGAAGTCATAAAATGAAAGCCTGCCGTCTCCAGGTTTCAGCCAGCACGTACACAGGCTGTAAATCCTCTTAATTCTCCGCAGTGACTACATGGAGATCCACCTCTGAGCCTCTAAACCAAGCCACAGGTTACTCACTTCCACCTCAGGCCCCAGTACCGTGTTAGCTGAAGTGCCATCTTCTGAGCTGCTCCCTTTCATGTCACAGGGGAATGGCAAAAAAAGCCTGTCAGCAGTATGTTCCCCTCTATTTCTTTGTTGGTAGAAGATCCTGGCATTGAAATACAAGCTGTTTGAAGTATGGTGCAACTCACCTTCTGGAGTCACACTATAAAGCCAGGCACTCTGGATTTGTAGGACAGCTACAGTGAACACAGAGCTGAAGACAGTGCCCTTTCCTCTTATCAGTGCTGCCTTCCAGCAGAAAAGGATGAACTAGAAGCTAAAAGTAGCACACAAGGTCAAAAGTACCCTGGCTTCCCACTGACGGCTAGCGAACAAGCGACATGGCTGAGGAGGTGAAAAAGTCTTAGCCATTACTCTCCCCAAGCAGGACAAGAAATTCAGCTTCTTCCGTATCCTTAATGGGGCAAACGCTGATTCTGAAGCCTTGTGGAAAGCACCCCTTGGAGAACCCTAGTGCTTGGGCCAATACAAACAGCACTGAGATTCACCACCTGTGAGATGACATTATTCTTCAATGTCTGAGCAAGACTGGAATGAGGTTAGCGTACTGGCTGGTGCCCCATGGCACCTCCCAAGCTGCCTGAACGGCTGCCTCTGCTCCGGCTAACGCTGCCTGGCAGTCAGACCTAGGGGAGTGAAGGCAGGTGGGTTGCAAGTCACGTCTCCAGGACTTGCCCGCACACAAGTGACACTGGAATTCACATCTCTGACCTGAAAGAGAGGATGGAAAGAAAGCAAGGAAGCCACAGTGGGCCTTACACGAGGCATCAGTAAAGAGAGAGCTCACTCTGGAACTGGCAATATCAAGATGTCTACATCCGACACCGCACAGAAACCAAAACCTTAATGTGAAAGGGATGGAAATGCAAAGAAGCCAACAATAGAGCACTGAGGGTTCAACTTCATCCCAAGTCTCCTTCTGCATTAACTTGTGCCATTCCCTACCTTTAACCCAGGGCACAGGATTTAGATCCAGGCGACAGATTTTGTGCTGGGAAGAGAGGACAGGGGGAACAACAGCGTTTCGTCAGCTTTTCTGAACGGCTCAAGGCTGCCAAGTGAGGCACTGACAACCTGAGAAGTTTTAGTACTGGGAGGCGAAGAGTTTTGCGTGGAAGAAAAACAACAAAACCCGAAACAGTTCATATTCCCTAATCTACAAATTTCAGTCATACGCAGTATCAAAGCTGCACGGTAATTGCTAAATCTGAACCTCTACCCTAGAGGACACAGCAATGAGTCGTCACTAGTCTAAGATGCACCTTTACATTAATATTTAATATCCAGCACTAGGTGATCTTAAGTTTTACATAAATATGTTTTATTATGTGTAGTCAAAATATGGACTTTGTATCTAAAATAATTTGACAGTTGAATTAAAAATCCTGCATGAAAATTAACTTGGACAGTAATTGTTCTGCAGAATCAGGATATATTATGGATAGGAGTTATCAGTTGCAGGAAGGTCAAATTTGCATTCAGCTTATTAAAGCAAGATTTTACACAGGTTATGGGAAGGGAATCCATTCTGCAGTTGTACCCATACGCTTTCCCATTTCATTGGGGAAGAATTTATTGACAAGTTAGTAAAATAAATTCATGCCGTTCAATAGAGAAGCTGCAAAGAAAATAGAGAACTAGATAACTAGCGGTATTAAAAGTCTTATCCTTGAGAATTGTTTCAACAACTACTTAAAACTAATAAAAAAAAAGTGAGTCTGAAGTATTCTGCAGTATAGAATAGCTTTGAAATTCCTGAAAATCCCAGTCCATGCCTGCAACACAAGGATCAAAACTCAGAAGAAAAATCCATTTTTAGTTCTTTTTGAGTAACCACTCGTGTCTTTTGTTTCAGTATTTTACACAGAGAATGAAGTCACTTAAAATCTGTCCTCTCGTCCAGTTCTGACGACTTCACACTACATGAAGTACCCACTCGGATTATGATGCAGCGATATGTAACAGCCCCAAGTTTTTTAGATACTACTGTTTATTGATGTTAGTGCAGAACAAGAATTATGTCTCGGAACACCAAATCTTCCATTTAATACAGAGGGAACTAGCCTCCAGGTTCCCACCACTTTTTTTTACTGGAGCTGAACTACCAAACCTGTTTTCTCACAGAAGTAGTCTTACAGCATGTAACCTGGCAATTAAAATCAGAGGCATAATTTGTCTAGACCTCCGTTATACAACTAAGAATTTTCTCTAGAGAATGTGCAAGTGAGGCTACAGCTACAGAAATGGCTTTATGCTCTGACAACCTCATTAGTACAATCCCTGAACGGCTTCAGCATGAAATACAAAAAGCTAAAGTTTGTTCCTTCATCATGTATTAAATGGAGCTACCATCCTTCACGAAGGCTGTGGTAGCTTTACAAAGCACAGGTTTTATTAAACGACAGTACCTTATGCCAAAACAGTCTACAGGCATGCCATACAAGATTTTCCTACTTACATCTCAAATCGTCAGGGCTCCAACTGGCCCCGAAAGCCACAAGCTACCTTACAGGCTTGGACACAGACTCCTGGAAACGTGTCAGCTGCACAGCAACTCCCTCAAGGAAAGAGGGAGTCTTATGCTTCATCATCATCATCATCATCATCATCATCCCTCTCAGCGAGGCAGCTGCTCTCAAGTGCACACCCCCTAGTCCAAGTAAACATCAAGGATTCCAGCACAAAATCCAAGCCTTAATTACAAGCCAGCCTCTGTGTTGTGGCAGGATAATTGGTGGACCCTGGAACCGAACACTTTTATGCTTGCTAATGCACTGAAACGCAGTGCTAAGGTAACACGTCTAATTATTCTATTATATAAGGAATAATTTTACTACTAATATACAAAGTCAAGGGACATTTTAATAATAGACCCTTTAGTCCTGTCTATAACGTACAAAGTAATTTGTAACCCTGTTTTAGCAACTCCTTATACAATTCTGCATACAAACTATTTGTGTGACTATATATATATGTATATATAAAATATACATGTGATGTATGTGTGTGCAGGCGTTTGCTCTATGGAGACACCCAAGAATGAATGTCTTCTACATCTTGCACTACTGCATTTCCTCCTTCCGTAAGACCAGCTGCCAAATGCTTTAGCGGTCATGACTCCATACGAGAAATTGCTAGATCAATGAAAAAGCAGTATCCCATGATGCACTGAATCAGTAGGGATGTACAGCTCTAGCTCTCTATTCATGATCTGCTAGTAAGCATATTTGCTTACATAACTAATAAGCTCAAACAAAATTTCTCTCATGTAAACACCAGATCAGTTCCGCAGTGTTTACTACTTTCACCAGTTTACTGTTTGCCAAGTGATTTATCTTCACTAACACAAGCGCTAAAACTTCATCCAGCAGGTCAGCATTTAAAAAGCTGCAGCTCATCTCACAACATAAATCCTAATTTCGTTGCGGTTGCATCAGTTCAAAAGACGTTTCGCTGCTTTCCCTGATTCAAAAGCAACTCATCATCTAACAGAAATAGCTAGCTTCGGCTGTCCAAGAACATCTGCTCACACTTTCAGTGCCTTCCAACAGAGTGGGAACACCAGTTTACACTGTCTCACTGCACAGTGGAAGCATTTAAAGCCATCACATTCCTCCTTGACTGGTTTGCCCACATTCTTTCGCTGAATCGATACCAGAAACAGTCCTCAGACCTGTGTTTCCCCAACTTTTCGGCTCAAGCCTTAATCCCTTCCATCTAAACACCAAATCTGGATTATCAAGAATCCAGGAAGGTATGATTCCGTACCCACAAAGCTTCTTCAATAACTCCTCTTTCCTAAGGGGAAAGAAGTTCCAAGTCATTTGCTGCAAGGTCAGGGATCCTTCTGAACCTCAGCCAACGATTCAGCCCTGAGATGTTGCTTGCTGTGTATGGACTGCATACGTCCCTCTGACACCCTGCGCAACGGCTTCCCAATGTCTAGGTACGTCCTATTTCCACAACGGTGCACTAACGGCAGTAGTCTCGGGGCTGGTCGCAGCCAACACGTTACTCACCTGTTTTACGTTGTATCCTGCTTTTGCACTAGTTTCAATGAACATTACATTCAGCTCTTTGGCTTTTCTTTCTCCTTCTTCAATGGACACTTGTCTGGGGAAGATAACACAGAATTAGGAAAAAAAAACAGACAAACACCTTGAAAATTAAGATTTTTCATCTTCAACCCAAGGAGGTGGCTGCTTCATTACCGTTCTTAAAGCATTTAATGTTTTTTTTTCCCCTGCATACAGATGCCACATACTGAGCAGCACAGTTGTAGACAAGCATCACCATTTCATCGTATCGGATGGACTTCTATGGCACGCCTGGCTCCCAGAGCAGAACTCGGCTTTCCAGTGGAACAGCTCAGTGGGCCAACTAGGCTCCCCACACCCCTGTCCGGGAAGCTATGCTTTTATGTCTGAACAATTCGCAATCAATAGATTTTAATATCCAATAACAATTGCCAACTTGCAGTCTATCAAACTATTTTAACAAAGGACCAAGCATAACCACCTCATATCAAATGAATTTTGCCCTGTTTTCCCCCGGCTAGGTGTCCCACGCATTAAGCAGTCTGCTACAGCAAAAACCGGGGGGAACTTTGGTTCAAGAACTGCCAAACAAAAATCATGAGGTATATGAGGGGCATATGTGTACGTAAACAATTCTTAATAGGATGTTATAAATCTCAAGTAAGGGTCACAAGTGAAGCTATTCTGAGGAAACAGGGATTTCAATCAAATCCAGAGTATTTCCCTCTCATGCTTTTGATTTACCTTTGCGACCTTTTACTCATTTGTGTTAAGAATACCATGAACCCAGAATAAGCAGAGAACACAATGCAGCAAAAGCTGCAGATGCACAACTTCTGATAAAAATATTTAAGTTTGCCAACTTACGAAAACCCTGAAGAGTTTTAAAAGTGAGGATTACTTGCACCTATCATTTTTATCTGAGCAAATCTATTAAGCATGAATATTTGTAATGACCTCAAGTTGCGCCAGGGGAGGTTTAGATTGGACATGAGGAAAAATTTCTTTACTGAAAGAGTGGTTAAACATTGGAACAGGCTGCCCAGGGAAGTGGTTGAGTCCCCATCCCTGGAGGTATTTAAAAGACGTGTAGATGCGGCACTGAGGGACATGGTTTAGTGGGCCTGGGGGTGTTGGGTCGACGGTTGGACTCGATGATCTTAGAGGTCTTTTCCAACCTTAATGATTCTATGACTTTAGCTTATTCATTCACTGATGCAGGTTGTAGTTAACACTCCATTCTCTCCTGACACCTGAACAAGTTGGTGACAGTTCCTCAACTCATTCACAGCATCACGCTGGAAAATTTTGCTTAACCAAATGAAAGAAGTTTTTAAATTGAGATTTCTCTAGTCACAGCCATCTTTCAAAACAAGCTTGAGCGTTTCAGGAGGGAAAAAAAAAATACAAGTGTTCTTTAAAATAGTTGTCTAGGACAAAACAGCAGCAGATTAAGAAAAGCATTTGAAAGATGAGTTATTCCTCCATACCTCTTATCTGCTAGATCTGTTTTATTTCCCACCAGCATAATGATGACATCACTGCCCCTTTCCGTTCTGACATCATCAATCCATTTTGTTGTTTGCTGGAACGAGTTTACATCTAACAGAGAACAGTGGAGAGAATTATCACTGCAGGTATTCGTCACAGATCACTGGTAAATACATCTGTAAGTCTCAAGTAAGAGCTTCATATTCTCTGGAATTGGCATAATAGGGTGATGAAGAATCAGCAAGTGAAACCCAAAGTCTCTCACACTGAAGTACATGAAAATTTTAGCTTTAACTTAAAATGGACTAGTACTTCATTACAGGTGAATTCAAAGCCAGGGAGCGAACTGAATTATCTATAATTTGGTTTTGACAGCATCTTAAATGAGAAGTCTTATCACTGTTTTAGTCCAGTTCCCTTTTTTTTTGGTTCAACATAAAATATTTTATCTAGAGAATGGGGATTAATGTGATATTGCATTCTACACTGCTCATGACTCGTGCATCTACAGCAAGAGGTTCCTACAGTTTCACTGTTTCTCAAAAGTACTTAATACCAGCTACACCTTTTGTACAGCTTAATCGCTTTTTACTTGCTAGGTTCAGGATGTTCTCTAGGAAATATCAGGGTTATACAACATACTAGCAACTCCTGTATCATTGAACACCGAATTCAAACTAGTTTCCAAATCATTTGCATAGAACCAGAAATCCAAATTTAGCCTATCCACAGACACTTTTTCTTAATGATATGTCCTTAAAAGCTGCAAGATAAGAATTTTAGGAAGCTAACCTGATCCAATGAGACAGTGTGTTGTTTGACAAGCTGCATCCCGTAAGGCAGAACGAGTTGTATAGAAGCTGCCACAGAGCGCAGCATTTGCCAGTTAGCTACACAAAGAGCATCTGAGCTGCCAAAGTAGTTTTCAGTACTTAAAAAAGGGGCAGGGGGGGCGGCTCTGCAGCAGTTCTTGACAAGTATTGATTTTTTTTTTTTTAATGGCTTCTACTGCATAGTAATATATTGTATGCTAGACAGTCAAGACTTGATCACTTGCCAGTGTCTTAATTCTTCTCTTTACTACTCAGTAATCTTGAATTTGCTAGGTCAGTAAAAAAATTTCAAAGTTCACAGCTAACCTGTAATTTTAGCTCAAATGAAAATACTATTTTTAACAATTAAAGCTTTTATAGGTAAAGCC